AATTTTGTTTTCCTTTAGAAGTTAAAAAACAAAAAGATTTCACAAAGTTAGTGTGTAAGAAGTTAGCTTTTGATGACTGTAACTGGTTTGTGAAACCAAAAGGTACCAGAGTAGGAATGTTGTTGCTTTGGGATAATAATTTGGAGATTAAACATATTAAAGCTCAAACTTCTTTATCCAGGTGGAGTATAAGGGGCCTCATAGTAGTACTACTGAATGGACTATCTTGTCTACATCAGCACAAAAAATTGTATCAGAAAGATGTAATGGAATGTTGGAGGGAGCGAGAAAGAGAGAGAGAGAGAGAGAGATAGAAGGAGAGAGAGAGAGAGAGGAAGAGAGATTAAGTTGGGGGTATCATTGGGTAATCACAGGGGACTAGATTGACATTTGGTGTAATGAAGAAAAGAAAGTAGGAAGAGTAAGGCCTGAATCAAGTTTTATGGGATCAATCATTTCATCTCTCATATGGTATGAGTGAACTTGGCATGAGAGGTTATCAGTCACTTGGGGAAACAGAAGGGATATGGAAGGCTATGTAGAATCAAAGATGAATCAGGCTTTTTGTTGTTTGTTGTCGTTGGTTGCTCACCGTAAAGCTTAGGTATCAAAATATTACAAGACTGCCTCAGGTCATAGTCTCCTCTTACTGGAAGATGATGTGTATAAGGGCAGAAAGATAAAAAAAAAAAGGTAGTTTTGAGAAAAGGTGGCTGAAAAAGAAGAGTGTTCAAAAAACAATGCTCAAAGCCTAATCTATACCCCAGTCCGGTACCCTTTTATTCAAAGTAAAAGAGAGGCTTAAGAAAACATGAATGGCTCTGTTCAAGTGGAATAGACTATTCCACTCTAAGAGCAAGGAAAATATTAACCTTCTTACTATCAAGTTATAAGAAATGAGGCAGCTTGGTAGGGACATGGAGGAGTGGAAGTCCATTCAAAATGAGCTTGAGACTGAATATAATTCTGATGAACTTTATTGGCAACAAAACCCCAGACGCTATGGTTTAAAAAAGATGACTAGAACTCGAAGTTTTTCCATGCATATACACTCTAATGGAGAAGGAATAATGTAATCTCTAGGCTCTATGAAACTCCAGAGGAGATTAAGGCCCAATGTGACTCAATTTTATGAACAATTATTCACTTTTGAGGGATCGTTGGGGACAAAAAACCTTCTTAATATAGCTCCCCAATC